TTTCAACTCTTGCAATGAAAAATTAGACTCTCTATGTCTAAAATAGATTGATACTTACAATTAACGGTATACGTTCACCATGAATATCTGTGTTTGTTGTCATCCCTGCCCTGGTCGAAGCCATGGTTTCTTCACTTAAAGATTTTTCAAATGCTCTTGGTGAGTAAAGATCATAATAGATTAGTATATCATCTGGATCATATTCATTGGGATATCTGTATCGAATACCAATAGCTGGTATGATATGATCATAATCGTCGTAATGCATGTTTGGAAGAAAGATTCCAAACATGACTGGGTATTTTCGTAGAAGAGATAGTTTCATCCAACGACAAAAGTCTCGGTATTGTGGCAGATTTGAATTCTTCCAATTCCATTCGTCGTATTTGAAATGAAGTTTACTAATAGTACAGAGCGGATCACGCTTATCATTGGGTGACATTTGTTGCAAAAGAAATTCACCTTTATTGATGTCACGAATGAGACCTTGAGAAATCCAAGCACCATAGTAAAGTCCTAAATATTTTCAGTAAACTGCAAATCTTCAGAGGTTTTCATACTCTAGAAATTCTTCAGAGAGAGAATAACTTAGTTCCTGAGCATAAAACCATTTGGAACTAGTAAAATTTTGCATGTCTCTGACTCATCTGTTTTCAATATAATTAACTTAGGACATCGAAAACTTCACTCTACTTTTTTATACACATATAGGGCAAACTATCATGGTAAACAATGAAAACTTACCAATACATTGAAGAGACACTTCACCACAATAGCCGTTTTCATGATCCCATTGGAATCGAGGTGATATATCAAGTGAAACTGTGTATTGAGGAGGTTCCTCGTCTTGCTCGAGTTGTACATTTGCTCCGTTTACTATCGCCATTGCTTCAGTTGAGTCACAGGATCAACAACTGGAATAGAGAAAGTTTTAATTCAGTTTCCGTCTAAAGAGTATGATTAAATATATGAATTTCTGACTTATTTCTATATTATATAAGATAAATATGCATTCTGACTCGTTATCAATGATTCATATAGAAAGTTGTTTCGTTTCGAAAAAAGAAATTTTGTATATGAAATTAATACTTAATCGTGGATGATAATCTGAAATGAAGATCTAAGCGTCTTTTTTTGGACTGATTACGCTGAATTTTATCTCCAAAGATTCTCACTTTTCTTTCCTTCTCTAAATGGTCTGTAGAAAGCGGCCAGCTTGTGAGGTCCTCAATCAAGATGATTATAAAAGCATTAAGTCTCAATAGTTTTCGCTTCCTATGTAAAAATGACAAGAAAATGAAAAACAACGTATGCAAACGTTTTGCGTTGACACATAATAGCATTAGCAATGAATCATGATTACACAAAAAGGTAGGCAAAATCCATAGTTTAGTATTGCGAAAACTTTTTCATGACATAATAAAGTGTCATATACTTTCAACGTTAGGGAAAAAACTTACGAAAAAAGTGACTTGACTTTGTTATCCAACGCTAATCAATATACTAAAATGTGCTCGTGTATCTGGGTTAAATGTGGAATAAGGGTGATGTCATTTTACTCTTTGCTTATTGAAAGAAACGCAGGTCAATTAAAATGATTTCTGGCATAAAAAATAACATTTTGGATTTTTATTTCGCCTTCATTGTAGAAGGGATAGCTCATCGACCTTAGAGTTTAAATGTCACAACCTCCCACACCCACTTTCAAAAATGGGCTTTGCATTTTTCCCCCATCGTCAATACAAATCATCGCTTTTATTCATTGTGTTATTTTTCCCTTTAGAAGCGACCAGAAAAAGAAGTTTTTTGTTGTTCTTCACTTTCTCCACAGCATAAACAGAACAAAAAGCGATGCACTGTTTCATTTCATTTATGACCCATTCCCTGTAAGCTAAGACCGACACTCTAAGACTGCTGCTGAAACATCGTTTACTTTAACTATACAATACGGAAGTTTTACTTCCTATGACTTTCGATGGTTTAACATCGTTCAGAAAAATAAATGATATGCTTCGTTCGAGAATCTAGCCCATGATATGATAACTGGTTATCCGAACCAGTGCTCTAACCATTGA